AAAGATGAATCGCCTCGAAATAAGAGAAAATATTTCAGTTTTACTTTGTAGAATTTCGTTTTAATTAACATGCGAACCAAAAATCCTTTACAAAAATGTCAAATTCTGTTAGACCATATAACTAACTTCTAAATCAGTGAAGTTTTTTTATTCGAAAAAGATACGTCTGAAATACAAATTTTATACGAGACTTGTTTTTCCAAAACTAATCTACAAAGTATTGGCATATCCAGAAGCGACTCAGTTCCTCTAGAAAGATTTTGACCTCCTAGAAAAAAAAATGTAAACATTATGGAAAAATAGGTTTAGCACTCCCTACGATGATTTTGGTCAGTGTCTGGCTTATCTAGAACCTTTTCCTTTTTAGTTATACTACTACTGCGAAGCTGCAAAAACCAAAGACTAAACGTCTCGAAAAAAGTTCTTGTAACGTTTTCCTAATTTGAAAAGTTTCCATTTATCATTTATTTTAAGCTATATCAACTGAACTCTAACAAAACCAATACACAAAAAAATGTAGCACTTCAAAAGCTCTATTGATATTAGCTTCGATAAACTGTTTTAGACCCATTCTGAACTCTTTACTGAAAAGAAAATTTGAAATTGAAATTGAAATTTCCGTAAAATCGAGTCTTTCCCAAGAGCTATCCATTCTAAACGACATCAAAGAATTCAAAATATCTTTTTTATTATTGAAAAATGGTCAGGTAGTAAGAACGACCAAATCATACAGGCTCTTTCAGAAAAAGCTACATTTTCCTAAAAAAACCAAGACAAAACTTAACTCCTAATATATCATTGGAAAGAGCACTGTTTATGCTACAAAAATCACCATTCAATATGATTTTTCATTTCATTTCTAATCTAAAAAAAAAACAAAACAACAGAAAATAGAAAATGATATTCTGAAAATGTGAAGTTGCAAGAAATTTTTTTTTACAAGTGTTTCGTTTTTGACTTTTCCAGCTTTACAAATTCGTTCTGAAAAAACAATTCTACTATGAAATTTGTAGCTCAGACGTTGCTCTTTACAACAACAAAAAAAAAGACGTTCATTGGTTTAGAAGTTAGCCGTATGATCTAACAGAGTTCGACATTTTTGCAAAGACTTTTGAATTCCACGTTATATCCTAATCAAATTCAATTTCTTATCAAAGGATAATAGACGATGAACTAAGACAACTTCAATTTATTCATCTAATGTTAAACATTATATCTGACTTTGTGATTGTTCATTCATTGAGTTTTCAACAATAAATTCTCTTCCTATTGAATTTAGTGTCATTCGGATAATTCGAGGAAAATAAATAAAAATAATCTTTGTTATATAATGTACACATGTTGATTCAATACAAATTCGATGAAGATCAATTATGTCAACAATGAATATAAAACGAAGATGATTAAATCGATTAATATTGTTCATCAGTTTTCTACCATGGACAAAATAAAGATCAGAATAATAAATGATTTGAATTGGATGTATATTAGATGAAAAAATAGAAAAGAAGAGAAAGAATTATTTGGTCGAAGATATAGATCAATTAGAAAATGAGGATTACGACGAACCGATTCGATAAATACATTTAACCGAGAAAATCAATGAATAAAAGTTTCAGCATTGAAATAAGAAAATATTTTGAACTTTAGTTCAGAAAAAAAGATCTTCAATTTGAGTTTTTGAATTTGAAAAATCTAAGAAAAAAAATTTATTCAAATATAATAATTCAAAAGTTCTAGTCAATAAATAAATTTATCTTGTTCATTTTCATATATACTCAATTCAACTTAACGTTTCTTTCTTTTTTAATTCATATGTATTGATGATCAACTTTGATTTTATTTTTGTTGATGACATAATCATTTCAATTGATTTATCGATTTGAAGCTATAGTATCCCCTCATAGGAAACGAACTATTGACAAAAGAATCCATTAATGTTAAAAGGCACTTAGATATTTATTGGCAGATATTTGAAAAGAACAAAAAGTCACAAGTAAAAATTATTCTCATTCAAATGGCACCGAAATTTGTCGAAGTGTTCGGTGTTGATATCAGAATTATTTTCAAAGTATATTATGAAAATATACTAGTAAGTCATTGGTTGCATTATTATTTGATGGTAAACGAAGTAGTTCTGAACATTAATTAACACATTCGTAGCGATATGAGTATTGGTTTTTTTTTCATAAACTATAAAAGGTTCAATTTCTTTATTGAAAGCAATTGTAATACTTAAAAGCAGTTTTCATCAATGTTTCTCTTATGAACATGAGCTATGAACATTCCTTTGTCAGTAGTAAAAGAATCAGCTCCTATGATCAAAATATGGTAGAGATATTCAATTTTTTTTTGCGCTAAAGAAACTTTTGGATCACTTTATAGTATGATTCACCGGTAGGTCACATCGCCTCGAATGTGTTAAACAAAATCTCATATTATAATGTTGATTAAGATAAAACTCATAAAGAATCAAGATTGACAATGTGAATATCGTGTCGACAAAAATGTTAATCATCAAAAGTAAATTTGATGTCATTTTGTATTCATTCTTCTACACAATTTTATGAAATGACATTTTTTTAATATTTTTTTTTTCTTTATATTTAAAATTTATTGTTGACAATTACAATAAGAACAAAAACTTCAATGATTTTTATTCTATTTAAAAAAATTCTTGTTGTCTCAACCTATGTTGCTTTAAAAAGATGCAGTATTCTTGTATTGGTTATGTTAAGGCATGTCTATGACTCGCCTCGAGAAGAATCCTTCGAAGAAAAAAAACTAAAGTGTTGTATAAGTCACAAAAAGAATCAGTGAAATTTTTTGTTCTTTTATGTCTCAACGTCGCTGAATAAATACGTAAAACTACCCACATTTGTTTTTGTTTTTTTCTTTTCATTTTTTTCCTTCGTTATAAATATTTTCAAAAGAGGCACGTTATGTATACTTCCTTTAAAACAACACCGTTCAAATGTATGGTTTTTCCTACTGATTTTCGCATGATCAATGATGAGATACACAAATTATTTATTCATTTGATGAATGATTTGGCTCCAATGGATAAACCAGGACCAATGGGTGGTCAATGTGAAATGCAAACTTATCAAATGGAGACGTTCTTAAAAGAAAACTTTGATTTTGAAAATATTCCTGGTGAATATATTGTTCAAGGAGTGAAATCATTTCGAATTGGTCAACTACCATCGTTACAGTCTTTAGATAAGAATTTAATAATCAAATTTCCGTCTGAAATACATGAAAATCCATTTGAAATGACTATTGAGGAAATACGACAATGGCAACAATCATATATTGTTTATGCTTGTCAAGATAATGATTTGTCTATTGATAAAGAATTCCTTAAACGAGCTCTACAAGGTCAAAGTAAAGATGGTGACGAAGCATTTCGTATGAAATTTGTTATTCGAATAAGTACCTGTCCTATCTTAATGGAATTCGATGCTCAAGTTATTCCACGAAAATTAGATGAAGAATGGCCTAATAGAATTAAACTTGTATCTGTAACTGGTATTGATTTTGCCGGACGAAAACATGATATTCAAGATATCTATACGTATTTGACCAACTGGAGAAATGTTTATGCACTTGATCCATACACGAATGAACCATTAATATATGGTGGACGAGATTTTTGCCCTAACAGAAATGTTCGTGGTGTACTCGACGAAAAACGTTTATATGATGATCTGATTCGTATGGCTCGTTTACGACTTCGTGCATGTGATTATGAGGGGGTGCAAATTGTTGTTGAAACAGGCATTGGATTGGGCGTCTTTGCTGGTCGACAAATTGGTATTGATCATCAAACACGTTCATTTACAGCTCGAGCCATCAAACAAGTTCTTGAAGAAGATGGTCCCAGTTACTCCAAAATTAAAGCCGTAGTGTTTGCTTTACCTATTTTCGAAATTGATGAATCAACGTCAACATATAACTATTGTGAAACACGATCTGAAAGGAGTGTTGAAGTGTTTAGGGTAGAAATTTTGGACCCACTCCCCCCCGCCTCCCCCACAGACCGTGACAGAGAAAAATCATACCCATCACAGACCGTGACAGAGAACCTCCGGACCCATCACAGACCGTGACAGAGAATCCGGGTACCCATCACAGACCGTGACAGAGAATCCGAGTACCCATCACAGACCGTGACAGAGAACCCGGGGTACCCATCACAGACCGTGACAGAGAATCCGGGTACCCATCACAGACCGTGACAGAGAAGCCGGGTACCCATCACAGACCGTGACAGAGAACCCCGGGTACCCATCACAGACCGTGACATAGAATCCGGGTACCCATCACAGACCGTGACAGAGAACTCGGGTACCCATCACAGACCGTGACACAGAAACTGTAGTTGTAAAGTATCAGATATACGGTCAGCTACAAATGTGTCGTAAGGAAATGGAACAAAAGGATTTCCATTTAATTAGTAACAATAGGTCCATCGTGTTTCACATTTTTAATCCCGCAAGGGATTGCGCTAACAGCTTTTTTATTGATATATTTAAAAATGAATATATCGGAATAATACCTATATTGATTGTCGATCAAGATATGCATCGTTTAACAGTAGCTATTGCCAAACAAGGCTTTTTTGTTTCCGAACTTAATCCAGCCGATTCACATGGAGTTTTTAGTGAGTATTGGCAAAATCGAGGACCTGCTGTCGAAGAAAAACTAGCGCTAACAACAGTAGGATTATTGGTACAACATCACTTGTTCAATGAAAAATACGTATTGAATACTTCGAATTACAAATTTATTTCTCTAGACGATAAACTCTCTCTGAATAGAGAAGTATCGACACCTACATCATCTTTCAATGTTGAATAGCTATTACAAGCTTGGCAAGAAAGAATGGGCTGGATGGGTGCGTGTATTATATCGCTATTCGTATTTTTATTTCGCAGAAAACGTGATGATAATCACATCGTATAATTTGCTCGATGATAAAAGGAATAAATATTTTTTTTGTATAATTAATAAACATGAAATGATGATTGTTCGTGAAACGTATTCTTAATAAATATTTAAGACATTTAAACATTTATTATATATCGTTAGTGTGTACCTTTTAAACAGAATTTTGCTGGTATTATTATTTTTAAATGATATTCTATAATGATTGACATCGTATCTAAATAAAAGTTGAAATGACAGCATCGTAGGCATCTAGGAATTGAACAGCTCAAAAATTTCTGTTTTTATAACGCTTAAGTTCTACAATAGGAAGCAGCAAATACGAATGTCACCTTAAGTATTATCTCATCGTACACCTGAGCCTTTCTTACAGTTCAAATTAAAAGAAATTTTTAATAAAAAAATCTCATTTCAAATACATCGAAATTTTGCAAAAATATTACTCATGGTAAATTCTGAATGTTATCAAAGCAATGACGTTTTATAGAGCAACACCAGCAGATAACGAAAACTAGAAGAGGAGGGTGTGAGTATGAGTGTGAGTCTCGTCTTTGTCGACACTCACACCCTATTTGCGCGTTCATAAATTTGATCCAAATGGTGCAAGTGTATATTGGAAAGTAGTGTTCAAAGAATACTTTGTTGATACGTGTACTCGTAAAAATTTTGGGAAATTTTCTTTACCAACTGGTAGACAATTAAACCCAACAGATATATTGTGAAGACAATTTGGCAAGAGATGAAAAATGAAAAAAACCAGAGCCATAATATTAAAACCCGCTGAATTTCTTTTACCTCAACCCCTTCTTTCCCAGTTGCTTGAAATGATAGTATAACCTAATTCATGAATTTTTATTCATTATTTGTTAAAATAATATCCTTTAATTTATGAGTTTTTCCAAGTATTATTACTTTGTGAACAATTATGTGATCACAATGTAATAAAATGCATGAGAATTCATGAAATCTATTGTATTATCATCGGTATGCTCGTATTAACATGTCAGTATACGATTGTAATGCCTTCAACTCTTTAGGTAACCATTCAATGTCTATCTGGTAGGCACGAAGTAGTTGTGAGTAGAAACTGAACTTTTTTTAATTTGGATCTTTTTTTTAATTAGATTTGTGAGATACAGATGTAGTGTTCCATCAAGTTTTTAAGGTGGATAAATTATATTTTACATTACTTGGTTTCATCGATTGTTTACCATTGAACATTTGATTATTTCTTTCATAATTGGATGAAATGTGGATATCATCAAGCATTTCTTGGCAAATTACTATTAATTTACTGGAAGTCTCGTATTTTATGTCAGCTTTTTGGTCACAGAAAATGTTTTAAGTTCAACGAAGATGATTTCTTTCAACTGTCTGACTAGTTTTCTTAAGATTAGTCTCCAATTTTTGTTGCCATGAACAATTTGTCCATATCAATATGACTAAAGTTGTATTAAGAGTAGGGATTTCTAACTGAAAATCGTTATATTATTAATGAAGAAGTTTTGTTGTTATTTTCTCTAATTCTTAGGTGATAGGTAGAAAATTTCTCGAGTTCAATTTAAACTCTATTTGTTTTCAAATGACATTCGCTGCCTGAACTCAGATACGTTTCGATAATGATGAGTTTTTTTTCTCGGCAATTTTCTAGAATTTCTTACTGAATGGTACTTGTTCAGACGTAAAAAGACCAATAGTTCGTGCTATAATTGTCCACGATTTTCTCAGAACTTGTACGCTTTGCATTGATAATTAGTTTCGAAGAATTTCTGTAATATAAATGATATAAAATTCTCCTAACGATTTTGTTTGAAGACTCTTATCAAGTCCCAAGAAAAGATAATTCTAAGTCTTCTGCACAAATTTATGATAAAATCTGACCGAGCGTAATTGTCGAAAAAGCCTTGTAAGATTTTATAGAGCGCTAGATTAGATTTTTTCAGCTAGAAACAGTGTTAATTACGAACCATTGTTTCTCAAAGAGTATGTTTCAATTTAGAAAAAAATATTCTTTTAAACAATCAATTGATAATGTTTTCGAAATTTACATCACCCTCATTGATCACTTGTTTTTAGCAATTAAGACAGTCTTTATTTTTATTTTCGTTTCTTGTAGATTTTTATTTATTGTTATTATTATTATCAGATCATCATCATTATTAATTCAACTCTATCGATTATCAATTTAATTCTCGAAACAAATTCATCCTTGATAGGTCTATAAATCCATCATGGCCGGCATATTTTCTGTAGAAAAAATGAACGAACGTCTGGATGAATTACAACTTGCAGTAAAAAACAAAGAAACTGAAGTAAATCAATTAAGAGATCTTCTAAAAAATGCTAATTCAAATGCAGATGAATTGGAAATCATTGGTGCATTGACAACTTCAAACAGGGCTATTGAACTGATAAGACAAGAACGCGTGAAGATTATCGAACTTCTTAAAACGCAAATAGAGAAAGGTAAATTTCTTTGGTATTATTTGTGTCACTCTTTTTTTTATCTGATTGTGTTTTGCTAAAAAAAAGGAACTATTAGTTTACCAAGTAAAAAAATGAGAAGAAGTCTACCACCTCCAACTAGTGGATTCAAATGGAATTTTGATATTTTGGCAGCATATTCAATAAATTTTCAACTCGTCTATACATTGAACGAACTATTGTTTCAAACACCACCAACAACATCTGGTAAGATGTTCTGTATATTTATCTTAAAAAACAATATCATGATCCTTTATAATAATTTCTTCCATACAATCACAAATGTGAAATTAACGCGTTACAAGAATTTCTACTTTCCTGCTATTTAACTCATTGAACACAGTCAAAAATGTCCGAAAAATCGCGTTTTAATGATGCCCTTTTTCTTGTACTTCAACCTCGTTATGAGTTTCTAGAAAAACATCTTAAGGCATTCTTCATATAAACGCGTTATAACTCGTAATTTCGGACATTTTTGACTGTGTACAATGCGTTGATACCAAAAGCATTCTAATGCATTTAACATACGATTTGTTTTTCACATTGCTTTATACAACATATCAAAACTGGTGAAGAATATACAAAATTAAAAAAGAAAAAGCTGAACTGATATTAAATTTTTTTGTATCCACATGAAGTATTCTATTTTTTACTATGTTTTAGTAGTAATACACTAAGTTTTCAATAAAGAATTGAAAGATTCGTATCATTTATCATGTATATTATTTCCTCAATCTCTACGATTTTAGTTAAATTTTGATCAATGAATATTTATTTTCGTTGAAGTGATATATATGGATTTGAACCGACATAGGAAGTTAACTGAAAAAATGCGGAATAAAATATGATCCATCGGGGATTCTTATCATCAAACAATATTTTTTATTTCAAAATCAACTAACTCACTTATTGTTAAGAATGTCATCATACAAAAAAATGAATATAAACGAAATGTCGATAAAATAAAAACTAGCATAACATATTCTCCTGTGAAAAATAAATGAAATATCTCATTTTTTCGATTAACTTCATATACTATTGTCATTTTGTCTCAAGTTTATATCAGATCAGAGATACATCGATTGTCACTGTATATGCTTCCAAAGTTTCAACCATGTGTCGCAAGAAATGAATGAGAAAACTGAAATTCTAACTCATGTACTCTTTCATTGTTGTGACAAATATTTGTAGATTTTCTTGTCATTTTCAATTTTTCTTTTCTTTTTTTTGTTCACATGAAACTTTCCGAAATGTCTCAAATTATGTTCATTGTTTTCAACTCTTTGAAGAGTAGTGCACAAAAAAAAAACTATCGAAAAAATTTGGAATAGTGGAAAACAATGATCAAAATTCGATTCATTTCGTAAATTTTAATTTGAACAGAAAAAGAGGAAAACTAACAATGATAAGAAATTCTATAAATATTTGTCACAACAATACAAGAGTACATGAGATAGATTTTCAGTTTTCTCATTCATTTCTCGCTACTCATGACTGAAACTTTGGAAGTACATTAAGTGACGATTGGATGCATCTGTCATATTAAATTAAGATGAAATGACAATCATATAGGAAATTAATCGAAACAATTAGATATTCAGTGTTTTTTTTGTACAAAGAGATGAATCGATAGAATAGAGAATTATTAAACATGTGTTTAGTAATAAATGCGAAAGACAAGTATTGATTGAGTAAAGAACGATATAAATGAATTAATGATTCCTGCTGTTCCTCTCTATATTGTAACAAAAAAGAGACAAAGAAGCCAACAAACATCAATGCTATTTGGTCAACGCAATTACTAACAAGAATGAATAAATGTCTTGTTTATGAAGAAGAGTTTTTCTCTTTCTATGTACTAGATTAGACGATAAGAAAAAATATTGTTCCGCTCAATCAGCTGATAATAACATATCTTCTAACGAAATAATATTCAGATTTTTTCAAATAGGAACAATTATTTGAAATATTTGTATTTATCAAAAAAAATCATTACTAATACGTTTCTAAAAAGTTAAATAATAGCTCTCATACATCCAATAATCATGCCGCAACGTTCTTCAGATCATTTTTATAGATCATCTGGCGTACTCAGTTGTACATATGCTAAGCATTGAGATCTTCTTTTTTTGATATGCCGTTCAATGTCTTTCTTCTAGTTTTTGTAATGTACCTTTTAGCAAATAAAATTTTCTGTTGTTACTCTCTAACAGGATGACTAAAGTTTTCATTCTAATTACACTAAAACTTCTCTGATCTAATCATTGAAACTCGTTGTTTTTAGGAAAAGAATTATAATCGAGTTTCAACGAGTAATCATTCATTAATTCTATTTCGTATTTATAAATGCATAAAAACGAATTCATTCCTGTATTAAAACGGATCAAGTTATCATTTTTGTCTACTAAATGTGTTAAAATCTGTTTATACATGAAGGAACCCATTTTAACCAGTTCACTTTTTATAAAGGTTTATTCTGCGTTTCTCTGTCAAAATGCGTTGAAACGACATCTTAAACGTTTACTCGTCTGCCTAGGATTGGACGATTTTTTTCCACAGTATTCTTATTCTATTGTACTAAAAACCAGAGAAAAACTGTCAAATTATTTTCAAATACTTTTTATGTGTAGATAAGGCCCCGAATGAAACACAAAATAACTGAATTGTCTGTTTGCTTTCGCTCGCGGTCGTTGACAATCAATTAGGAATATGTTTATATATACATTATCTTTTTATGCTGTTGTTTTGAAAGATATGAGCGTGAAGAGAAATCGAAGAAACAACTGAAATATTCTCTGTCTTTATTAGCGGCATTGCTGTACTAGTGATTTGGGTGACTAAAATCAATCTTATGTGTTTTATTTAGATCGTGCAAAACGTTTTGTTGATGCTTGTTCCATTATATCTTATGAAAATTTATTAAAGGTCAAGTTTCCATCCGATCCTCAAGCTTCATGGCTCGCTAAACATATGTATCTGATCACAAGTAGTTGTTTTGGCAATATGGAAGCATCAATTGACGATATGGTTATTGTTTTGTTCAATGCTTTGGGTTTTAATGATGGAGATTTAATCACTGTGTTTGTATCATATTTCTCATTGTTTTATTTCAATATTCGCTTGTTTTTGAAGGTCTCGAAACAGATTGAATTTTCAAATGTCGAACAAGACGGTATGTGCAGATGCTGATCTTACTGTTTTTAATTTGAAGAGTATGATTTGTTTAGCACTTGTGAAGGTTTGATTTAATTTTAGCTTTTGTTACTATTGATTTGTTGTCATTTCTATAGGATAAAAGATTTGATAAAAGTTTAGGTATAGATAAAAGTGGTGAATCACAATTAATTGCCGAAGCCATTGCTGCTGCTATGTACAATAGAAAAAAAATAATTACTCGGGTAGGAGATCAATTATTAAACAAACAGTAAAGACTACGTTTCATATTTAGAACAATTTACGTCGAGCAATAAGTGAACCACTAACAGATGATCCAAAACCACTTGAAGCTGCAATGATAAATACGTTATGCATATCAGATGTAAGTCTTTAAGACAGCGTCCACAAGACCACTACCCAAGGAAGTTATCGAAAAATTATAGCTTTTAAAATGAATTTTCTATTTTGAAAGAGCATAAAAATTTATTTAGAAATCCAAAGTTTGACAACATTTGGAAAAATGTCTTCTAATATTTCGATCATCAAAATAATTTTCATCGAAAATATCAGTCTGTCAAAAGCTATGACTTTTGGATCATTTTTGTTTAGGAATTTTTTCTCACAAAAATATTTGATCAAAACCATTGTCAAATAATACCAATCGATAGAGCAGAAGCTTCTCTACAAAATCTTATATTTTATATACTTTGTTATTTACCTAATAAATCGAAAAAATTCCTTATAATAAATGAAATCAAACATTTCTTGCTCTATTTTACAGGCTGTGTTTTATCTTTCTAGCTTCTCTTATGCAGATCATTTTTAAGAGCCTAAAGTAAATCTTATATAATTTTGTAAAACATTAAAAGACGCATCTTTTGGTAAAAAAATATTGGTTGCTAAACTGTTAACCAGGTTCCATAAAGTTCACGGCAATGTTGTTCAGAATACATCATTTTTTGTATTTTCACGAAAATCTATGTATCGTTTTTTTCATTTAAAGTTCTCTGGGTTTCGAAAAAGTTTAAGTTGTTTGATAGCAGTTCTAGAAAGTCATTGGAAACACAATCAAAGCGTCATGTCATCTCTTTTTTTCTTGCTAATAAGATTAGAGAAATGAACAAGTACTTGGTTTAAAATACCTCGTACTGTATCATTCCTTAGTTATAACTGAGAAATATTTATTGAACTGAAGACTTTTACTAATGATATGGTATGAAAGAGTGATTCTTGATAGAGTGAATATGCTTGACATGTTTTCCGTATAACCCTTTGAGGACGGAACTTTTTTTTCAATCGAAAAATGGCTCTTCAATCAATCTGTTGTATTTGGCTTAAAATGATCAGATAAAAAAACCTGATGATAATGCATCGAGAGAAGAGAGGGAGAAATCATGCGTCAGTATATAGTAGCAAAAAGAAAGGAGGCCATCTAAGAAGGATCTATATAACAGGAAGAAAGAGAGAAAAGACCTGCATGAGATGGCAGATAGGCGACCTATTTACCTTAAAGATTGTAACAGTTTAATGTAGAGCAAACATTTTCTCTACTGAAAAATAGGTGAGACAGATATGTCCCACCGTCCTCAAAGGGATAAAACCAGTAGTATCTGTAATCATAATATCAATATTATGATTATAACTTATTATTCACTGAAGTTATAGAAATTTTCTTCGATTGATATTCATATTTATGTCTCTATTGCACCCAGAACTGGGCAAGTCAGAGATTTTTCAAGTCACAAGTCAAGTCCCCCCCCCCCTTCTAAATTTTTTCCAACAAGATCAAGTCAAGTCTTCACTTGACTCGATTTGGAAAAACTTTTTAATAGTTCTGAGTTGATTTGAGTTGGCTGGACTTCACTTGGTTGGACTTGACTTGCCCAGCTCTGATTGCACCATCATTTCATTTGTGTTCGGCAGATATTGACATAAATCTTTCGAATGACTTCATATTAACAGTACATAGTTAGTTATCAATGACATGATTATTAGAGTATTGCCTGGATAAAACTCTTCATACCAATACCCGACTCGAACAGGAATCATTTACTCGTACTTATGAATTTTGCACCGGAACCAAGGTATGGATACGGGTAGCCGACCCGTGGATTGCGTTACTCTGGTGGTTATTACATGTTTCCTTCATCTTTTGAATGAATTTAGATTCAGATATCGATGATTGATTGACTGATATGAGAAGAGTCAATTTCTCAGTATCTTCAATACCTTTTTATAGATTATGATAATGAACTATATATATATATGTCTGATATGATAGTTTGATTATTCTATTATTAATATCTTGCTTCGTATGGCGTTGATAGTTGAAGTTTAGTTTCATTGATAATAAATATTATATTAATGTGTCAATGTTATAAAAGGAGATTTATTTCTATGATAAATTTCCAACAAACAAAAGTTTATTTTTTCGAAATATTTCTTATCTATAGTTTTAATCGAACGTGAACTATTGATTTCATTCTCTTTTCGAAACTCGAGAGCAGCAGCATGTCATTATCACTAAATATTATCTTCCATCTTTATAACTATCAGATCAAATTTGATTTAAAAAAAATAAAATAATCGATCATCATAAAAACAAAATTTGCTTCTTCGTTGACAAAATGGCACTAGATTGTACACGATAAGATATTTTAGTAGTTTACTTAATTTCATAGAGTAAAAAGGGAGTCCATAACTGATGATATCGCTACCCAACAGGAATATTACTTCTATCATGTCAAACTCTCACTAAAGGTGTTCCAATGTAATCTTCCATAGAATTATACCTATAAGACTTGTTTGTGTTGTTTATCAGTCAATTGAAACAGTCAATGTCTGTCATACCCACGCCATACCTGAATGTTGAAGGTGACTAACTCTTTTTATCCATTAATTAGAAGATCTATTAGACTAGTATTCATTTGACTCGATAGGACTTTGCAAATCGTTCAAAATGGGATAAAAAAATCGAAGAAAAAACATTGATCACACAAAGAAATTTCAAAGAGATTATTATTGAGATATGATTTTATGATTTTTTTTTGTCTGATATTTAGTAGATTTCGATTAGAATTATACGATTTATGAAAGAACTAATATGATATTCTAAATCGGCCTCCAAAGCAGAGTAGACTTAAGGATATTTCAAAAATCTTCCTAACCTTCTTTTTTTTGTCGAAAACTTTATCCATGATCCCACTAAGGGTGGCGTCAAACAATGTACTTTATGAAAAAGTGATTTTGAAAGTGAAAATCAAATTCTAACATTATTAAACGATTGTAGAACTATAAGTAGCAAATGAATAAACAATAAATAGCGACTTTTCATGAGATGCAATTTTTGATCCGACTCTGAGGTAGACCAGGAGGGAATTTTACAACAAAAAAAAAAGAAGGCTGCGAAAATTTTTGAAATTCACATAAGTCCACTGTGTTTTCGATGCTGATTTAGAATATCATATTATTTATTATACAAAGCGTATTTTTTCTCATCGAAATCTACTAAATATCAGACAAAAACCATAAAGTCATGTCTCGCGGATAGTCTCGTTGGGATTTCTTTGTACGGTTAGCGTTTTTTTTCCTCGATATTTTTATATCATCGTGAAGCGCTCAAAAAGTGCTATGAAAACATATTTAAAAAGCCTGGTCGCTCATCAGATAGGTAGATAAAAAGTGCTGACTATTATCAGCAGTGGGGTTCAAAGTACATGTGACGGCCATTAACTATTTGAATCGATCTGTGCACATCGAAAATAAATGCCATAGGAGTCATTTTACCGAAGCTCACTATACTATCGGACACATCGTGTGATAGTTTGGCAAACAAGAAATCAAATTTGTCGAGGCGGGACCATTTTCAACAGCTGTCGATCCTTTCTCTTAAGATATTTACTGATCAAGATAACCCAGCTTTTAGGCATCTGCTCAGATCTTCTAGTAGAATAACTATTGATTTCCGATCTCAACTCGGTGATCTCCTTCTTTTTCACTGGTTTTTATGATCTAAAACTAAACAACTTAAACTTTTTCGAAACCCAGAGAACTTTAAATGAAAAAA